GTAGCCTCTGAATATACATACACTAACCGCCAAAAGAAACGTTACCCTCTTACCTTTTATGAATTACTGAAAAACTATCAAAGACTTGTTAGAAGGTATTAGTTTACAAGTAGGCTTAACAACACAGCCTTATACAACAGACGAAAATAAATTATCAAATCCATTCCATGCCGAAATAAAACAATAACAGTTATTTTGATGTCCAAAAGAAAGGTTGAAATAAAATTCTGCTTTGGGACAATGATAAACTATTTAAAGTCACCATTTTCAACTATTAAAACAAGAAACAACTGTTGTAGAGTGTGTAAAATTGTAAAATAATCAAGCAGTATTTGCATCCATTTCACATGTAGAATGATTCTATAGGGTATGTAGAGGGCCTAGAATACGTGATATGATACACAAGTACGAGAAATATGCCACGCTTAACAGCTGAAGAGAGAGAAAGAGCCATTGGGATGGTGCAGATGGGGTCGACATACAATGCTGTTGCCAACGCCCTCGGATGCCACCGTATCACGGTTATAAGGCTTATTCGGGGCTTCAGACAGACTGGGATCACCGTAAACAGACCAAGAAGTGGACGTCCACGCATCACAACCCCAGCTGAACATAGGTACCCCGTCATTAAGGAAGGAGGGTGACGTTTCTTTGGCGTTTCGTGTATATACATATTTTGATAGAAACAAATAATTCATTTCAAACTGAAAGGAGTCCCCATGAGATTCAGAGATTCCAGAACCTGGGATGAACTAGTCTTGCTTCATTTAGGGTTTTAGCATGGCAGAATGGGCTGAGCGGGAGGTAAAATATTGTCGTTCAGGGACCTGTTAGACATTTTGAATCAGAAGATTGTCATGGAAACACGCTAACGTTTCTTTTATCGATGACAAAGGGTTAGCTAACTTTCCTACAGTGAGGCCGGTTCAAGGAAATATGTATGTAACAGGCTTAAATAGGTTGCACTGTATATTTCATTGTGTCAGCGAATCACGATCCTCACGTGTAAGAATCATACCTGGAATCGCCGGGGAAAGGGATTGCAGCAATGATTAAGGCAAGTGAATAATTTGGAGTTCTTTTGACTGACTTCTCAGATGGGCCGTATTCAACGAGATGATGGTGGAATGTATTTTGCACTCCAAACTAACCGTACGCCAATAGATGATGGTGGTCAGTTCGCTACCCACCACACTGGCAATACATCGTTTGATATGAACCTGTTAAAGAGGGTATATATACTAACGGGCAGGAGCACTCATCATGACGTATAGAACCAGTCTGGGAATGTCAAGAGGGGATCTGAATGGAAAGCTAACCCAGCCAAAGACATCTGAGAAATGTCAAAGACGTTCCCATCAGGAGGTCACCTAGGCCGTCGGTCTCTCCGGCAACAGCAAGTACCACACCTTGGTCACACCTGGATGTGGTAGTGATACACCTGCAGCAGACATCACCACACAGTTCACCTGTAACCTTTCACTTACAAAACACATGGCAATATAATAATGCTGGAAGTGTGGTGTCAATAACATCAAGTGCCCAACTCCTAAACACTGAAAGCCAAGAAAATAAATGTTTCACATCAGAAATATATTTTCAAAGGGACAAGTCACCAGACAAATGGCGGTAGTGCATTTCCAGCTAAGAAATGCAACTCATTTGTTAATCCTCGTTTAATATTGATTCACACTACTAACGTTAAAAAGAAATGTTTTTCCAGTATAACTTCATCAGAAGCCTTTCTCAAATGTATGTTACAAACTACCCAACATTCCAGTTACTTGCTATTTGTAGTCATGTATTTGGTTTGAGTTAATTCAACCACTGGCATCTTGACTCACAAACCTGGCTTGTTTCTACTCCCATTTTACAGTGTTCAGTACACTGTTACAAGTTGGTACCAGGAAGGTCAAGTCAATACCCTACATGGTAGAACTATGTCATCCAACAATACACGGTGTTCAGTCCTCTCTTTTCCAGTTAGTTTCTCGATGTATTTTGAGAATGTGAACAGTTCTGGGCTGGGCTGTGGTAGAGTTTTGGGTCTGTGTATTTTCCCGCAAGTATTGTTCGCCTGCAGTTGCCACACCGATTCCCCAGACTCGAGCCGTCATGTTTACGTAGCCCTCCAACAATGTGAGGTTCTAATGTCCAGGTACACTGATCTGACGTTCATTTGTTGAACTCTTCTCTGGAGGAAGATAGGAATGTAAGGTATGATAATCACGTGACCAGATCATGTTTAAAAAAACACATTTCGCAAGATCTAGTGATAGGTACATTGAAACACAATGAATACATTGAAACACAATGAATACATTGAAACACAATGAATACATTGAAACACAATGAATACATTGAAACACAATGAATACATTGAAACACAATGAATACATTGAAACACAATGAATACATTGAAACACAATGAATACATTGAAACACAATGAATACATTGAAACACAATGAATACATTGAAACACAATGAATACATTGAAACACAAAAGAATACATTGAAACACAATGAATACATTGAAACACAATGAATACATTGAAACACAATGAATACATTGAAACACAATGAATACATTGAAACACAATGAATACATTGAAACACAATGAATACATTGAAACACAATGAATACATTGAAACACAATGAATACATTGAAACACAATGAATACATTGAAACACAATGAATACATTGAAACACAATGAATACATTGAAACACAATGAATACATTGAAACACAAAAGAATACATTGAAACACAATGAATACATTGAAACACAATGAATACATTGAAACACAAAGAATGAATACATTGAAACACAATGAATACATTGAAACACAATGAATACATTGAAACACAATGAATACATTGAAACACAATGAATACACTGAAACACAATGAATACACTGAAACACAATGAATACTTTTGACACTTTGATATATCATATTTGTATATGTGAAGGTAGTGTTGAGGGATGGAGAGGTGAAAGACACATGTGTGAGAATATCTGCCAGCAGAAATAAGACGACAGATTTACTACATGAAATAACCACAAACTGATACATCAACACCATTTTTCTGACAACATGGTGATGTCAGTCATGGATGCCAAGCTTGTATATAACGATGTCACTTTGCCATATCATTGGTACATTCGCCAGCATGAGGTACGTAAAGCGTCTACCGTATAAAGAAATCTGTACTCCTCAAATGATACAGAAAGAAGGAGCATGACAACACAGTCACACATGTATCTGAACTCTGGAAACATTCCGCTGTGAGGAATCAGTTACATGAATAATTCAGATGTTCGCAGTAGGTGCTCAGGTCACCGATTACTCCATGGGGATTCACAGGTAGTATCACACTAAGTAGGACCCGCATGATAAGTCGTAGGACCCGGATAATGAGTCGTAGGACCCGGATAATGAGTCGCAGGACCCGGATAATGAGTCGTAGGACCCGGATAATGAGTCGCAGGACCCGGATAATGAGTCGTAGGACCCGGATAATGAGTCGCAGGACCCGGATAATGAGTCGCAGGACCTGGATAATGAGTCGTAGGACCAGATAATGCGAGTCAAGTGGTTAAACGTGATCGGATCTGAATGCTACTGGTTGATAATACATGGTTATTATAGGTCATCATCTCAAGTCACATAACTGAGATGAGATGGCGACCATCTTTCCCTTCGCTTTATACCTGTATAGAATGACTGGTAGAACATAAATATTGGCACAACTGACCTGACTATAGATATGATATATACATGTGTGTAATGACAACCACGTGGTACAGCTGTACACAGGAAGGACCTGGCAGATAGCGGAAACAGGTGAATGTATAGTGCAACATATGGTGAAATGTACACCAGCTGAAATAACCAGGATTATCATTTCACATAAGGGTATGATGCAGCTACAAAATCAACAATAAAAGTCTTCTGTGAAGCGTAAAAATACTCAGAGTTGAACCTATAGTAAATGTACGACGAATGAACGCATTAACCTTAAGGCCAAACCACATCCCCGTGTAAAGTAATCTATAGAACCAGTTATACCACAGTCCCATTAGTGTGAGGTTTATCTGTCGTTATCTATTGTACGTCGTGCCAGACGTGGGCCAACCAAGAGGGAACCTGGCTTCAGCACGCGATCCTTCAACATGGCGAACAACGTCTGCTTGTACCTAACTTGTGGTGACTCACAAGGAAACGATTCTGTTCATGTATAGAATTAGATCAGACACAAACAAACCTTTGATGGGGTGATTTTCGTTTCTTAAATATCCTTTACAACAGTGCTGGCTCAGGATTACATGTGAATGTCCTTGACATAAGTACAAGTATTAGTAGCGATGGATGCCAGGGGTGCGCCTTGCTGCTGCTGCTGCTGATGATGATGATGATGAGAAAGGGTTGGGAAAGAAGGAGGGGCTACCTCCCTGCGCACCCGAACGTACGCTCACTGACGGACAGAGGCACGCACACATATGCACGCATTTCAATATGAAGTATTTTGCGGTAGGAGAATGGTTCAGTCAATATTTGGCAAGATTTTCACAAACTTTAGGAAACAATCAAACAATATGGTTATTTTGAAAATAAACATTGGTATCCGTTAAACGTGTGACAGGGTGATGGTGCATAGAAACATCGGAACAATTCAATCAAAAACAATTCTGTTCACTGTTATTCAAACAAATGTGACAGATGTGTGTTTCGGCATACATTGTAAGTCAACCCGTATCCTGCGAACACACATACTGATTGATAGCCCATATATCATACCTGATACAAACAATATACTCATGCCAATAATGGTTGTCATCCCCCTCCCACCCCAACCCCCACACCCCTCCAATTAAAAAAATAGAAGGGGGTGACAACCATTATTGGCATGGGTATATATTTCAGGCAGCGTGAACCAATGGCTCAGAAACTGACTGAAGTCACCTAAAGTACGTATAATACCCATCCTTGTTGCAGCGTGATGCCGAGCTGGAGAAACAGGCCCTGGACTGGGTGGAGGCCAACCTCGGGGAGGCCATCGACAGGAAGAAATCTTATGATGAAGTACTTAAAGACGGAATCATCCTCTGCAAGTAGGTTTTACAGTGCCAGTACTTCACCGTCGGCTCCACATGCCTTAAGTTGCAAAATAACCAAGTAAAGACGTATATACGCTGACATATAGTATTCCGCTTTGTCATAACCTTCTTATAACGTATCAGTTTCTCATCTTCTGGGAAAACAAGTGAGTTGACTATAGTCCATCTTGACGTCTCTAACAGAGTAGTTATTTATAATAGGTCGTGATCTTTCCTTCTGTGATAGAAAGTGGTTTTGTCTTCTGTGTCCTTGCCTTTGTTGTAGAAAGTGATCTTGTCATCTGTAGTAGGACATCATCTTGTCCCTGCGATCAAATGGGATCTTGCCTTCTGGTGAAGGGGAACTTCTTTCTGTGACATGAAGTGACCTTTCCTCCTATGATAGGACGTGACCTTTCTGTCTGCGACAGGATGTGCCTTTTAATGGACGTGTCCATTCCTTCTGTGATAAGACGTAGCTTTTCTTCTGTGATTGGCCTTGACCCCTCCGTCTATGATTGAACACGATTTGTTTTTCTCGACAGAATGATGAACAAGCTGAACCCTGGGTGTATCAAGAAGATCGACACAAAGGGAGGTGGCTTTGCTCTCATGCAAAACATCGAGAGGTTTTCCAACGCTGCCACCAAGTTCGGTGTTCCTCCCAATGAAGTGTTCCAGACAGTTGATCTCTGGGAAAAGAAGAACATTCCCCAGGTCACGCTCTGTATCCATGCGCTCGGCAGAATTGTAAGTGACATTTTACGTTTTCACTCGTATCCCTACTTGTGGTGATGTCACGCTCAGTAGTACCACAGGTTTATATGATCGCCGTCTGATGACCCCGAGCAAGGGACCCAGCCTATCGTGTGGCAGTGACACAATCATGGGGTCACGATTGGAGTTCGTCGATGTTTGAGCAAGCATGGTCTTCTTAGTTTTCCTTTTCTGTTGCTTATCAAGTGTTCACTAGAACTAATGCTTATATATAGGGCCAAGCAAAGACAATGGTTGAACCTAGTTGTTGAAGCATTTAATTCTACACTCACTCCTGCCTTGGATACATCATGTGAAGTCATTTTGTTTTCCCCTTGACTGATTGTACTGGAATATCGCTTAAGGCGATGTAAATCAATACTCACTCAAACGCCTAGAAGCCAAAAGCGAAAACATACAATATTGTAAACGTACTTATTTTCGCGTGGTGCAATTTTCGCGGAATTGACAGTTTAGACTACATCGCGCGGTCAATTATTCGCGCAATCAGTAATTGCCGGAACTGCCAGCTGTCTCTTTGGCCGCCACTAATAGCAGTGAAAACAAACAGAGTGGCTGAACCTGTCAGGCGGCATTTATTACTTACTCACAGGAAATCCCTATCTGTGCGACATACTAGTACACAGTAACCCGTTTACTCCCGGAAGAGATGAAAAACACATCAGTATTATGTTCCGAATTCTGACGATCTGACTTATTAACTTATACTGTATATGAAGCTCTTTGTGATTTCAAACAAGCCGGGTTGTTGTGAATGAGATGATTGAGTGTTAGTGACTATTCGCTTCATGATGATACGTTTGTATCTAAATGAATAAATAAAATACTGCTGTATTATTTCTTTCCGAGTCGTTTCGTGGTAATCTGTTTTGTATCAAACCATCTGTCATGTGACCAATTTCCATGGCGGCCACAACACACATTGCTGTTTTCGCTAATTCGGCGATGGGATTTGGCTCATTATTTAATTATGTTTTGGGAAATCCATTACAGCGACAGTTAAGTTTGATTCTTTATGCTACTATCAGTCGTCATTTTAAGATTCCCGTAGATTTCTGTCTTCAAACTTGATGTGTTATGGTAACAACTCAGGGGCGAGCGTGGCTAGACTGAATGAATGACAGGTTTATTCGCGGTGTATAAATTTTCGCGCTAAAATGTTTTGCGCGAAAAGCGCGAAAATAAAACCTGCGCGAAATATACTACGTTTACAATATTTTGTAATTCTCTCAGAATCTTAATCGTTCGGACAAATATATCTTTCATGTGACAAAGTATGTGAAAAGAGACATGTCTCAAATACGAAATGTGGTCATATTTCAGTGTCAAACGAAACCAGATTACAAAGGCCCAATGCTCGGACCCAAGATGGCGGACGAGAACAAGCGAGAGTTCACCGAGGCTCAGTTACTCGAGGCCAAGAACATTGTGAGCCTCCAGTATGGCAGCAACCAGGGAGCCTCCCAGGCCGGCATGAACATGGGCAAACCGAGGAGCATCAACGACTAGATGCACACATCCACAATAACTGATATATTGAATGTAAAGCTGAAAGGCAGGTGACCACGGATGGTCTAAAAGTCACAGAATTATTTAGTGAAAGATGACAGATAATCTATCTATTTTAACTGGACCTTTTAGGCTTGACTCACTGAAAGCGGTAGCCACTTTGATCTGGATTCCCAAACAGCTCTTTGTGTCCAGTCGTTCAAATTATTATCTTGTATAACAATCGGGCAGGTTATGACCGTCTTTATTCCACAGGTACCATGTCACAGTTACAAATAACACTAATAACAATCAGCATAGGGTAATGGGCATCAAAGCACTGTACCCTTTAAATATACCTTTCTGTGAGCATCTGCCTTTCTTTGTATCAAGTGAGCTTATGATACACTGAGTATGACTAGATGAGTATTATATAAAATGTACGCTTGTGAGTATATGAGTATAGTTATATACAGGTAGACCTGACTTATATCCATAGCCTAGTATAAACATGGTCATGTTGAAGGTGATCTAAACACACCAAAAAAGGTGATTTAATGACAACTATTTTATACTTTATCAAGTGTTGTGTTCAAATGCCTCATCTTAAAGGGAGTCTTCCAACAGCGTTTACATGGTGTCAAATTAAATTAAATTAAATTTAACATTGTTATTTTGATCCCTGTTTAGAATATCAAAAAGGGTTGCATAAATTTTTTAATGTTCTGTAAAGCATACCTCGAAGAGCCCCTTTAAGACCTTGTCAGCTTTCCACGTTTGCTGTGTAAATACTCTGTAGCTTTGTGTGATGTCTGGTATCGGTTAGTAATTTCAAATATTACTGATTTTATTGTCCTCTTTTGTCCAAATTCTTGTGTTTCATGTGAGGTTCACAAATCGAACTTGCAGACGATTTCTTTGTTTCGATGGTCTGTAAGGACGAGTTATTGTTTGTCCAGGGAAGGCCAATTTCTTTGATGTTCTGTTAACTAGTTGTACAGATAGCAGTATGTGTGATAAACCTATTTTTGTTTAAATATTTTGTCATCAGAATAGTTTTTTTGTAATTTATTTCATTTCGTAAAACAATTCTGTCTATTGAACTATTTTCTTCGATTAAACATCACACGAATTACTTTTGTTCTTTGTTAATACAAAATCACCTATAATAGATATATTGTACTGGTGTGTCGCTACAAGTGGGCCGCCATATAGCTGGAATACTGCTGAGTGCGGCGTTAAACAACAGCCAACCAAGGCTACAAGTATATTACAATGATGGCGTTGGATATGTTTTATCCTCGTACCAAGTGAAAAACATTTAAACAGCCTCTTAACAATGTCTTATTAGTCTGTATGAGGTCTGGTGTCATTTTATAATTGAATTAAGTTCTCTAATCGCTGCACAATTAAGTTTTTACTCAGGAACAGAATATGATTTTAGCTTTGTGATTTGCAAGTATAATTTATTTCTATGGTAGATGACACCATGTGAGTACTTGTATAAGTAGAAGGGGTGACCTTAGCGCAATGACAATGGATAGCCTTGCACCAGTCCATGTCACCATTGACTTCACCAGTGTCACACTTCCGGACATTCACCACCTCCGGCTGTCCACCCAACAATAACCAGACACGAAGTGGTATAACTGAAACAGAGTTTATAACCGCAACTCACTCACTCGCTCACTCAGTCCAGCGGTCAACACTTTACATCACTGCACATCACTGCACGACACCACCACACTCTAGTTTGGGTTGGCCTCAGCCTCAGCCTCCCAACTGCCACAATGGTTTCTATTTGATGGTGGACTTCAGATGGGTCCTCTGCGTCGGAGGAGAGGGCAGTCGCGAAGGGAGGAAACCCGTTAGCAAGATTCTCTCAACCGTCAACAACCATCACCGTTTGTTTCTACTGTCCCCTGTTTTGAAAATAATTGTTTTTTGTTGACGTTTTCAGACATTTCATTGTTTTTGTTCTTAACATACCGCAAGTTGAAAATGGCATTGGCGGTGGTATGGCTAGGTAAAACCTACCATTTGGATTGATCATTTTGAAAACTTCTCATTTCGTTTCATTCAGATTTTGGTGGTGCTTAGAGAAGTCGTAGGTGTATGTATTACAGGACGTGAGGACTGAGATGTGGCAGTTGTCCCCAGGACACCATACCTGTGCTGGCCAACACATGAGGCGGTTACATCCTGTGACATGCTTCATACCATTAAAGACTGTTCCATTGTCGGAATAATAACTCCATATCTACATGGATGTGCTGTGTCAACACTACCGTGTATGGCTTTGAGTTGAAGTACTACAAGAACACAGAAATCATTTTTGCCGTGTTAAACCGCTATTTCACCTCACCTTTGTTGAGGCAATACATTCATGGGCAAGGTAACCTGTAGAACGAAGCGGCAGAATAATGACATTTTTTATGGATATACAACTTCTTTTATTCTGTGAGGGCGACGTTTCGACGTATAGAATCTATGTCGCAACGTCCCCCTCACAGAATAAAAGAAGTTTTATATCCATAAAAATTGTCATCAGTCTTCAACAACTCAACTTCTAAAATGCCCATCAGAGAAAACGAAGCGGCAGTAAAATATACACACCGCCGTTCGAAATGCACGGTAAAGACAAGGAAGGTTCAACGTATGTGTCACCCGCCTGGATCGGTCAGTCTTTGTCTAAAAAGTTATTTCAAGTGAAATATAGGTCTACTGAGCATTGTATTGATATCGCATACCTGTTAGGTATGTAAAATAATTTACGATTTATTAAACGCCAGTTGTGTTCATGTTTATTAACCACTGGTTTCCCCGATCGAAGGTTCATACCTGTGTAAACACGCTGTGCATGTCGCCTGTCCTAGCCTCAAACGCTGACATACTACATACATCTACACGGAGGTCACGCACCATATTGTGTCTATAATGGCTGTTTTTTGTCATGAGTACGAAAATAATGGACAATTCAAGCAACGCTGCTTCGTAAGAGGCGACTAAATGCAACGGAAGATCAGCTCTGTAACTTGGATAAATTGCAAGTCATTGTCAGACATTGCTCAAACGGTCAGTGTCAAGTACAGAGGAGACTGTTTTCAAGCCGCCGGCACATCAAGATGGAATACTGCCTCGCCAGCTTGGTGAAACACACGACACAGAACTAGAAACATAAGAGTTCGACTTGATTTTTCACTTCATACATGTCTTTCTTCTGTTGAAATCATACAAAGATTGTGTGAGTGAGTGAGTGAGTGAGTGAGTGAGTGAGTTTTTACACCGCTTTTATCAATATTCCAGTAATATCACGAACACGCTCTCATACATAGGTCTCCTCGGAGCCTCTGCTCGTGCTTCTTGGCGCCTTAATGTTTCATGTTAGATTTGGGGACGTGGTTGTCTGTGACAATGTTCCAAGATTTTCAAGGTCGCATTAGACTAAGGAGGAAGCTCACATATTTCGATTCAATCGAGGAAATCACTTTGTCGGATGTAAGACAACCAGAGTTATTTCCCTTACACCACGTCTGCCAATATGTTAATCGTTCCTCATGCGGTTAATCACTGGTTTTCTGAGTTCAAAGAAAACAATTTACTTTCTGTTCGTCTTCAGCAATTTTCCAGCTATGTGACGGCGGCCTGACACCATTAGCATCAATCTAAGCAATTGGGATTCGATGACACTGTTTGTACTTTCTATTAGCTGATAAAAAACAGAAACGTTCATAACAAACAGCAGCTGTTAATAACTTCATAACACTATTTTATCGAAATAATTTTTCAAAACATTTTAATTAAACATAATAATACACGGTTGCAGTTGTTGTAAGCTTTCGTAAATTTGACTTCTTTATCAACTACAGTCAAATAAATATTTGGCATAGGATACTTAATGTAATTTCCATTGAAACGTTACAAAGACAATAACATGAAATAGGACAACTAATATTTACTATTTTCACTCTTGCTATGTTATGTTATAAGCGAATCACCCCGTCTCGTAAACAGACAGCACAACAAAATAGTCTGTCAAATATTTGAGACTGTGTATTGTTTTGCAGATCACACGACACTGAAACAGAACATTCCTGTAACACCGAAACTGAATATATATATATATTATTTTTCTATAATAACCAACAATAACAACTGCCTGCATTCAAAATAATGTAAAATACATGAATGCTTCCTCCTAAAAAATAATATCCTCGCAAATTGCATTATTGTTGATTTACCGGTTTATGTAATATCACCACTCCTAAGATTGTCGGTAAGAGTCGGTGGTTCTCGGAAAGTACCGAAACTTCCCGACTTCTATCGGAAGCATCAGTCGTTAAAGTCGTGTTCTACTCTGTAGTTGCATAGTTGCCGGTTGTAGCGTTGGTAGTAGCTGTGGAAGTCAGCCTCGCCCAGGCACTCTGCCAGCCTCAGGTCACAGCGGCAGGTCGTGTAGGCGCACGGGTTGTTTTCCATGGAATCTGAAAACAGTTGAGAGTAACGAGCATGTTTTGTAACTGTTCTCAAATTCAAAACACCTCCTTAAGACCATAATGTAAACCAGTATTATAGATATTACGCCTATCATTACCTGAGCCTATAGGGTCGACGGACTAGTAATTTATCGAGGAATAAGGGGTGAGGTTAAGGCTAAGAGAGTGGTCAGAGGGATGTGCCATACTCTGCTCATACCCCCCAAACCAACACTTAAAGTTGAGGTAAATTTAGGCGACTCTATATTTTATTCCTACATAAACAGACAGACAGACACACACACAGACACACACACGCACGCACGCACGCACGCACGCACGCACACACACACACACACACACACAGACACACACACAGACCTACCCCTACCCCCTTCACATCTCACCGCATCCCTGGCGACACGTCTGTAAACACAGGTACACCAGCCAATTCAAGTAGCATGAATATCTGACAAGCATGATTGATTTCATGAAATATAACGAATCATTCAAACACTAAATAACAAAAGCGTTTTAAAGTGCATGACCTAGTCTGTCCACTGTCAAACATGTCTCTATTAGTACGTGATGGATATTCTTCCCGTATCATATCTCTCCAGTCGTTATTTTAAATGTCACTCGCTGATTAAAATGTGTCGGTCAGTATAGCAGGTACACATTGACCTTTGTATTTCCTTCGAGTCAGATAGCGAACCTCTTTTACGCTGCATCAGCACTTTCACTGGCTATAGGAGACTGCCACTAAGCAAATCCGGGCTCACTGTTGAATGGATTCATCATGCAATTGGACAATCATGTAGAAAAATACAGCGACTGTATTATAAGGTTTCCGTCCTATAGTCGTGTCAGGATCTGCTGAGCGCGGGTTCTATTCCACATTCACCTCATTATGTCAGTTGGTTCCTCAGTACCCGACCATGGTCGTGGCTTTCATCCACTGCTAACGTGTAAACCCTGCGCATCCCTCGTACGTGGAGTTGATACACGATCACATAACTGGGACACTGTACAACGCGGTGATAAAACATCCTCAACATGATGGAACACTGTACAACGAGGTGATAAAACACCCACAACATGATGGAACACTGTACAACGAGGTGATAAAACAAACACAACATGATGGAACAATGTATGTTGATAAAACACCCACAACATGATGGAACACTGTTGATAAAACACACACATCCACAACATGATGGAACACTGTACAACGGAACACTGTACAACGAAGTGATAAAACACCCACAACATGATGGAACACTGTACAACGTGTTGATAAAACATCCTCAACATGATGGAACACTGTACAACGAGGTGATAAAACACACACAACATGCCCGGATTGGTGAAACTTGTTAATCCATGTGAAGCAATTTGGCCTTGACTTGGGCCACACGTAAACGTCAACGTTGTGGGGCGTGGCCTGCGTTGCGTGATAGTGAAAGGTCAGCTGACGGCCTTTGCTCGACATCACCGTCGCTTGCACGGGTCCACCTTCACACGTCTGGACCGCCACACCAACGTATAAGTTTAGCCCGCCGAGAATATGAGTGAGCTGTAACGCGACAGTCATATCACGGCGGGTCAGTTTAAAGTGGGAGGGAAGCCCGAAGTAATGCAGGACCCCATACCA